GGGGCGCGCGAGCGCGGCAGCACGCACTCCGCGGGTCGCGGCTGGCGCCCAAACCTCCACCGGTGTAGACCCGGGCAGCAGCCTCTCTAGCTTTAAGTGCGCTCAGGTGAAAGGCAGGTTTTTACCCAGCAGAAATCCAAAAGGAAGGAATCGGAAAGGGAAAGGAAAAAAATTGCAGTTCTGGGAAATCAAACTCAGGCCTGGGGCATACTAGACAAATGCTTCACCACTTACCCTTACCCCTAACTCGTGGCTTTCTCTTTATGGAAAAAGAAATCAGCACTTGTTCAGCCATCTTTTCAGAGATGCAAGGAAGAGATTCAATGGGGAGGAGAGGGGAAAAGGTAAGATCAGTTAGAAAGGACTGTGCTGTCTGGCTACTTTCCACGATCAAGATAAATAAATTACAAGTTGCGCAATCTGGATTGGATTTAAGGAATTTTTCAAAATTATATTACATGAAAAAACTCCACCGTGAACTTAATTTTAAGCAGCTGTATGAAATGTTTTATTTTTCCTCATAATGGCTCCTTGAATTCAAAAGAATTAAAATTTAAATTAAAAGACGTATTCCCCAAGCACAATACTTAATTCCTTGTATTTTATGTTAGCAGTGTCTTAATTGATACAGATGAGAAAAAATATGCTTCTTTAATTTGTGATTGTGTACGGAACTCAGTACTTGAAATACAAAAACATTCCTACCGCAATTGTTAGATCCATTTTGAATGACAAAGGGCGTCCGTAAACATTAGTCTCTCCATTGTTAATATACACTCAGATTTTCAACTAATAATTCTGCTTTAATTTTTTTATTCCTTTAAAACATGAGATAATGATTTTGTACATTACTTTTGACTGTTATGGCCATATCTGGTCCTCAGATATCAACTCTCCAGAACTAAGTAATATTAAGGGGTCTTATTGATAAGGTTCATTTTAAGGGACGTGTCCATTCCTTTTATGCCCTTAGAAAACTGGTATAACAAATAAGGGATAGTTTAAAGTAAGAAAAGTATGGTAAAGTGGTCCTTATAGACGTAAAATGTTTTTCATTATAAAAACAAGTTTTTGTATTTACAGTTTTAGTTCATCATATTCAGATTTACTAAGAACCACTTTTTCCCCTATTTGTAAGACAGCCTTTATATTACTACTAAAAATGACAACAGTTCTCATAGTTTTTAAAAGAAGAAATAAATTTTTTGTATGTTCATGAGACCAAAAGAAGTACAATAAGTCTACTACCTTTCAACTATATGGTACATTTGAGAGCATGTAAACCTACAAAACAAATGATTGACCTGGACATTTAGTTATCAAAAATTGTCTTTATTATTAACTTAAAACATAAAAGCAATGATTGCAGAATGTACATGTACACAAATGATGCTATAAACATTTTTTATAAATTATATCCTTCCGATCTAACTGCTAACCTCCAAGCTCTTTTTATGGAAAATAATATTTGCTGCTTAACCTAAAATTGTGGTAATTATTAAGTCCTGTACAGTGTTGGACATGACTTGATTTAGTTTTTTTCCTCTAATCTCCAACTTTGGCTCAAATTATTAGACTACAATCTGTTTATGAGCACAGACACATTTGCCAGTGTACAAGCAAACCTTCCACAGGGACTGCTATGAGAACTAAACAAAGTAAAACTTTTTTAAAAACTTGGTTGTTTGTTATTTTCTCTTTTGATGCATTAATCAAACATCAAAAAGTGCCAGTTAATTACCTAATAAATATTTTACACCTTCATTAATGGGGAGCAGAAAAAGCAGCAAGCAATACAATTTAAGATTTAAAAACTACTTAAAGCCAGGCTAGGTGACACAAAGCCTGTAATCTCAGACCTTTGAGAGGCTGAAGCAGAATTGCCTGGAGTTCATGGTCAGCCTGGAACACAGCGATATTCTACCTCAAAATATATATATATACATATATATATATATGTATATATGTATATATATATATATAATATTACATTGTGTGTGCCATTTAAACTTAACTCTGCCCATAAATCATTTAACAAAATGAATTCCCATGTTCCAATGAAAATCAAGAATTTTTAGCACAATGACAATCACTACCATCAGTTCTTTCTTGTTTCTGCATGTTTGGAGAATAAAATAGAATTTAATTTAAAGTGTATAACTGGGGGAAAGGTGGTTATATCAGAGAATGAAGAGAAAGGAGATAACCCAGACAGGCAAGGGTTGTAGCCTCCGCCTCGGCGTGAGGGCAGGATACCTCACCGTACCGAGCATTTTTTGAAATGGCCCCGCCCCCACCTCCTTCC